CATATGTTGCCATCATTGTTTTTAAAGCATTTTCTTTCTACTTGAGCTCCTTATTTTTTTTCCCTCCCTTCCTCCCTCCCTCCCTCATGAGCCCTTGATAATTTACAATTATTATTTTTCATGTCTTGCACTGTCCAATATCTCCCCCCACTCCCTTGTCTGTTGTCCATCCCCCTGGGAGGGGGTTATAGATAGGTCATTGCAATTGGTTCCCCCTTCCAACCCCCACCTTCCCCTTATCCTCCTGGTATGGCCACTCTCAATATTGGTCCCTAGGAGTTCATCTGTCCTGGATTCTTGTTGTTTCTAGCTCTTATCTGTACCCATGGACATGCTCTGGTCTGGCCAGATTTGTAAGGTAGAATTAGGGTCGTGACAGTAAAGGGGAGGAAGCATTAAAGAAGCAGAGGAAAGCTGTATGTTTCATTGGTGCTACACTGCACCCTGACTAATCCGTCTTCTCCCCATGGCCCTTCTGTAAGGGGATGTCCAATAGCCAATCCACACTCGCCCACCCTCATTCACATTATGATTTTTTGCTCTGGGTCTTTGATGCCTGATACCTGAGCCCATCGGCACCTCATGATCACACGGGCTGGTGTGCTTCTTCCCTGTGGGCTTTGTTGCTGGGTTGTTGCTAGATTGTTTACCTTCAAGCCTTTAAGACCCCAGACGCTATATCTTTTGATAGCCGGGCACCATCAGCTTTCTTCCCCACATTTATTTATGCACCCGCTTTGTCTTTAACAATTGTGTCGGGAAGGTGAGCATCTCAGAATGCCGGATTATTAGAACAAAGTGTTCTTGTGTTGAGGGAGTGCTTGAGTGGAGGCCCACTGTCGGACACCTTCTCAATGTAGGATGACGTCTAGATATGAAGCTTGTTTCGATACATATTGGAGTGCCACTGGTTTTGTTTATCTAGACAACACAGCCTGGCACAGTGGGGATGCAGGACAGGGTGGTGGCTTCTTTTACTGCACATGGGTGACTGTGAGGTGGAACTAAGTCAAGGGCACTGGGCAACGACGAAGACAACGACAACAACAGTGTCCCTAGGGTTCCTCAATAAAACCAACCCATGTCATTGAGTCTATTTCAACTCAACCCTACGAGGGTTTCCAAGACCAGGAATCTTTAGGGGAGCAGACAGCCTCTCATCCTCTGTGAAATGGCTGGTGGTTTTGAACCGTCAGCCAGGATTCCTTAGTAGCAACTTGAGGGTGGGGAATTCTGCCCAGTAGCATCAGACTCCTGCCCTGCCTGCCTTTATGTGGACTGCACTTAGCAGTGGACAAGCTCACAGTGCCTGCAGGCTGGAGCACAGGGTGTGAGTCAGGCGCATGGGGGGTATGGTGTGGAGAGGCAGGAAAAGTGGGGCAGATGGGGCATGGCGCAGGACTGCCTTTCAGATGCCCACTGGGGCCAGACCAGGTGGGGAATGTGTGAAGGGTGCTGCCTCAATGTGCGAGAAAAACAGCCAAAGGACAAAAGGCAGCAGAGTGGCCTGACTCAGCATCCTGGGGAAGTTCTGGGCTGAGCCAAGGCCATTCAACTCCTGCCCAGGGGGCCAGGTGGGGGGGCAGGGTGACCAAGTCTTTGTTGTTGTTGTTTTTTCAAGAGAAGCTTAACACTCAGATTTCTATCGGCATCCCATATTTTTTTTATGCTGGTGCCAATTATAACAAAGAAATCCAAACAAACATGTCTTAGGGTCAGGCCCAATCAAGCCACACCTGTGGCTTAGGGTTTAGAGCCCAAATAGCACAAGGATGCAGGCCTGGCCCTCCATGTGCCTGGAGGGGGACTCAAGGTCAGCCGGGCCACCTCTCTGAGCCTCGCTCTCCTCATCAACACCTGCAGGGACCTCTCAGAGCCTCCGCATTAAGTGAAGGGCCACGTGGTGCCCGCCTGGCAGGTTGGCCAGCACGTGCAGGGCACCAACAGTTGTGGACGTGGAGTGGCTCCATGTGCCATGGAACGGAACATGCCCAGCCAGCCATGCCATCACCACGATGGACCGCAGATCGGACCAGCCTGCTCCACAGGTTGCCCACCAGCGGCTCTCCTCAAGGAGGCCGTCAGGCCTTTCTTCCGAGTGAGCAACGAGCAGTGGTGGTGATCATTCTGACTCACGGGGATTCCGTGTACGCAGAGAGACCTGCTCCACGGAGGTTCAAGGCTGTGCGTGACCTTTCAGAAGCAGGTGGCTTCCCAGGGGTCTCTGGGTGGGTTTGAACCTCTAACCGTCCAGTTCAGTCAAGCCCTTACCATTTCTGCCACCCAGGACCGCATAGGAAATGGCCTGCGGTCATTATCAAACATGCCCCTGGTGTTCAGGAACTCTGAGGACACCTGGGAGAGCCCGGGGGAACTGCGGGAAATCTGTCAGGGTTTATAATCACACTTTGGGGGCGTATTTCCTTGTCCGAGAGAGATTTTTGTTTTATTTAAACTAGAAAATCCCTTGGGGTGAGCTTTTGAGTTGAGATCCCCGTCTCACCGCTCTCTGGGGGCACAATGCAGGAAGGAGATGTTCATGGGGCACTTGCCGGCATGGGCCAGTGTGGCAGTTACATAATTTCATGTCACCTTGAAGATATATAAAAGCATAAGGCGTTGTCCAGCCTGTCAATCCGGTCACAGTCTGATGACCTCACTTGGAGATGTGACCAAGATATATAGCTCTGGAGACTGGCCCCCCTGTGTGTCTCTCTCTGTGTGTCTCTGTCTCGGTCTCTCTTTCTCTGCCCTCACCTTCCTATTGCTGGCCACCCTGAGAACTGCTGGAGCCCTGTGATGCTTCCACTGCCATTGGATGGACTCGTCTGGTATGTTTTCTTGATTTATAATTTCTCCTCCTTACACATCTATAAGTGTCATTGGATTTGTTTCTCTGGTCATCCCAGACTAACACAGCCAGGCTTGGCGGCAAGCCCTTCTCCTGCCGCCCCAGAGTGCAAGAGTCTGCACCCCCAGTCTGCTCCACAGGACCACAGGGGGCAAGGGCGGCTTGATGTACAGCTGCAAGACTGGCCACAGGAAAACTGTGATTGCATCTCAACAGGGGCCTGGCCCAATGTCCAGCCCAAATCCCCGTGATGATAAAATTGTGTCCTTTGCTTCAGTCTCCTACTGCAACCCCTCCATCTTTCAGCCCGTGCCACTGGGGATCTCCGGGACGGTTAGGCAGCCGAGAGCCCTCCTGCACCAGTGGGCCAAGGAGACACCCAACTTGCCAGGAGCACACACGTTGGTAAGAACTGTGGCCAGGGAGCCTGCATGGTGGAGGAGGGCAGGCCGGGCACCAGTGCCTCACTCCCACACCCCTCACCGACCTGTGGCCATGGCAGAAGCCAGTCCCCCTGCCTTGGTCCCTGGGTCAGGTCTCTCTCACCACTGGGGGTGACACAGGTGAATCCCATCGTGCCCCACAGCCAGGGAGGTTATGCCTCCTCATGAACTTTCAAAACACTGAGACCAAGGGCCAGGGGCACAAATATCTTGAAAAAATTGAGTTTTCCCTGTGGTGTAGTCTCCTTGTGTGCAGCACAAAATAATTATGTCTTTTCACACGTGCGCAGAGACAATTAGGGAACACAATTAGATGAACCACAGCCAGAGACACCACTGTCCGGGGGGACTGGGAGAAGAACAGATGGACACAGTCTCAAAGGTGCCAGGGTCTGAGAGGTGGCCCTGCATCTGGTTGCTACGGCAACTGGGAGCTGCTGGCCAGGGTGGCACCAGAGCCACACCCCACAGGGAGGGCAACTCCGTCCTGCATCTGTTCTGAGGCAGCCACCACTGCACGAATAAAGCCCCGCCCTTGCCCCGCCCGCTCAGAGCACATTTACAGCTTGAGAGGAGCACGGGCCGGTGGCCCCGCATGCCAAGTCCCTTCCTGCACTTGGCAGGCGCGGGTTCTGGTTTTGTCTGGCCATTGGGATGAAAGCCTCGTAGAAACGTGTACGTATGTTCCACACAGACCATGCATCCTGGCCCCCCTGATCCCAGGGATTCAAGGGCCTGGCATAATAGGACCAGTGAGGGGCTGACAGCAGGCGAGGGCCACCTGCCTCAAGGGGCTGCACACATACATAGGTTTCCCAGCAACGTGACTAGAGCGAAGTGGCAAGACGACATTGGTTCCTGACGCTGGGCAGCATGACAGTCCCTTCAGCACAGGGCTGTGAGGAAAACGGAGCTCCTGAAAACTATGAGTGTCCCAGATGGGGAACTGACCATGCTCTGGTACCTTGAAACATGATGGTGTCTGCAAACAGTCTCTGTAGATGCTATCCGTTAACGTGTGAGAGGGATGACGGCTGTGGACAGATGCATCTACAAGCCAAAAAGGCCCACGACTACAGAAGCCGGAAGCCGCATGCAGAACTCTGCCTCTCTCCCAACAGTAACCAGAGTGAGCAGGGTCCCCAGCTGACCGGGCTGGGACTTGTGGCCTCCAGCACCTTCTGCTGTGCAATGCCACCATCTAGGAGCACTTTGTTACCAGGACTAGGGGTTGAAGCCAGCCACTGTGTTTCTGTTTGTTTTTGAAGTTTGATGAGAGAAATAAGAGCGAGGAATTTGTGCCTAGTTTGAAGTTTATTCATATTTAAGCACTACTAATGTGAGTATAGTTTAAGGTGATACTGGTAGGAGTCTGGGGGACTGTCCTTAAAGCTTGCTAGCCAAGCTTGAGAGGTATTGGTGTAGGGACCTTTGGGTTTTAGCTTTGGCACGTCCATGAGCTAGGAAGAAAGGCAGCCGTTCCTCTGATCAGATGGACCCCAGGGGAGCACCACTCGGCCCTGCCATGGTGTGCAAGCCTCCAATCAACAGCACTCACTCACAGCACAGCTCTCTCTCAAGAGACCTGCAACTCCACTGCTGTGCCCTTCAGAGCTCCACAAGAGCGTGTGGGTTTCCCTTTGGTCCCTAGCCCCAGGGACAGAGAGAGACTGGGCACAGCTCACCCAACAACAGAGGGCACTTACATAAAGAAGGGCATCAGCTGGATCAGTGTCTCCTTTCGGGGGCTGGTGGCAAACTCGGGGACCACCTGGATGACTTTGTTCATGACACCGCGCAAGTAATTCTGGAGCTGCTTCCGCCGTTCCTCTACAAACTTAGCATCCTGGGAAAACAGAGAAACAGACACTGAGCCATGCCTTCCTCACGTGTTCAAAGACAACCCTCCCAAGCTTATTGATCACCATAATCAAAGGTGCTACCGTGTATTGAGCAGTTATCACGGGACATGGCCTCTAAGTGCTTCCACATCTTATTGTGCTTCTTGTCAATGACTGGAGGAGGCGCAGGCCCACCACACTGAGTGAACCTGGGACCTCATAAACTGTGCAATGAACGAAGGCTTAGTGCTTCCAACTGCCTAGTCACAGGATAGAAGCACTGCAGCCACAGCCACTGTGGCTGTTTATCGAGCAGCTACAACAAGCCAAGGGTTGTACGAGGGATGTGGATGGAGGTCACAGGCCAGAGGGAGGGACATGGTTTACCCAGTGACCACACCTGTCAGGGGTAGCAAGGACCAAACAAAACCAAACCCACTTGGAGATATTTGCAGTTGCCCTCAGTCCTCGCGATAAAAGGGGACTTAGCTGCTACGTTTTTTTTTTCCTATTTTATCATTTTACTGGGGGCTCATACAACTCTTATCACTATCCACACATACATCAATTGTATAAAGCACATTTGTACATTCATTGCCCTCATCATTCTCAAAACATTTGCTCTCCACATAAGCCCCTGGCATCAGCTCCTCATTTATCCCCCTCCCTCCCCGCTCCACCTCCCCATGAACCCTTGATAATTTATAAATTGTTATTTTTGTCATATCTAACTCTGTCCGACATCTCCCTTCACCCGCTTTTCTGTTGTCCATCCCCAGGGAGGAGGTTATATGTAGATCCTTGTAATCGCTTCCCCCTTTCCACCCCACCCTCCCTCCACCCTCCGGTGTCACCACTCTCAGCACTGGTCCTGAAGGGATCATCTGTCCTGGATTCCCTGTGTTTCCAGTTCCTATCAAAGGGGACTTTATGAATAAACACAAATGTGCGCCCTTCTCCTAACGGCCAGAAGAGGCCAGGGGCCTGGCTTGCCCGCTGAGCTACAGCAGGCTGGGACCACACGGAGTGGCCCCTGAAGGTCAGAACTCCAGACTACCACCACCCAGCATGGGTAGGGCCAGCCTCCTGGTGTGACCTGCTCAGGCACAGGCCACCTGAGCTCAGTGGAACGTTCTGATGTCCTGTGTTAGGGTTGTTACTGTCAACACAGGTCCCAGGGTTATGGAGTGAGCCCTGCTGGGCCGTTGGGGGAGCGGGGGCACAAGGGGAGGTAGCAAATGCTTCTGTGAGGCAGGTGTGTTCCCTCAGTGGATTATGGGAGGGTGGCAGCAACTCACTCTGACTCACCTCACTGAACAAACTGGAAACTGAGGCACAGGAAACCCCACAGGTGGGCCAGGGATGTACCCAGCCTGCCTGTGACTGGTACTCTGACACTGTACACAGGGCATTCCATCAGCTGTAGGCCTGGTTTCTGGTGGCACCCAGAGCACACTGTCTGGGTGCCATGATATGGGCCCAAGCATAGCCAGGGTGTCCCTGAGCAGGGGCCACCAAGAAAGCAAACAAGAATCCAGGACAGGCAGTTCAGGTCCCAAAAGACCAAGAGCGGAACTCAGGATCCTTCTTTAGGGAGCAATTCCAATCCGATCATACCTCCTCAGGTGATATTTGAGACCTGAGCTTCCCCAAAAAACGTACCCATTGCTGACCCGAACAATCACACACAGCAGGGGTCCTCCTTTGAGCACCTGGTGCTCCTGGCGGTCCCTAGGGTAACTCCAAAGTCACCACAAGGCCTCCTCTCCTAACGCCCCCACATGCCACCTCCACAGGGACCTTCAAGCACTGCCACCCCACCATCGGCTGCAGCGCAGCCCAGGACCACAGCTCAGGGCCCAAGCAGCCCCGGGGGAGGGGCGAAGGCTGGGCAGCCGGGCTGCATGCCAGCTTCTGCTTCCTGGTCTCCAGGCGCTGACTGTGGGAGAGCTGGTTGATATCTCAGGCCCCAGCCGAGAAATAATGCTTGTGAGAAGGCGCTAATCAGCCGGAAGGGTCTTTCCTTTGGGAAGAGGAGGCTCCAACGCTCTGAGCAACACGTGGAGGCTGACGGGCAGCTGCTGCCCTGGGTGTGGCCAGGGGTCAGAACCCATGGACGGTGAGGCTCCACAAAAGGAGGTCAGGGGATTCCACCTGTGCTGGGCTGAACTGTGTCTCCCAATTAGACTCTACAGTCCCGTGGTTCCATTCAGGTCACCCGAACTAACAGACCTTGAAGGAATCAATCGGCATTTCGCAAGTAGCCACTGGAAACCATGTGCAGCATGGAAACACTGTCAGACAGTGCAGGCCTACGGAATGGAAACGGAGCATTATTGGAGATGGGCCCTCCTTGGCTCAGAAGGGACTTGAAATTTCACCGATGAGGAGCTGCTTTCTCAAAGCTGAAGAGAGGCAGCCAACCAGAAGGCCTTCGATGAGGTGGACGGACACAGTGGCTGCGGCAATGGTTCAACCACAGCAGCCATCGTGAGGGTGGCACGGGACTGGCCAATGTGGCCTCCTGTCGTGCACAGGTTGCTATGAGCTGGACTGACTCGATGGCACCTCAGGACAACACCCCTGTGCTGATCATCACTGGGAACCAGGGCTTTCATTCTTATGTTAATGAGATAGTACTAGGTGTTTCCTGAAGATTAACACACCTTTTTTTGAGATTAATAAAGGAACAGCTTAAGCAAAGAAGCCCAGTTGAGGGAAGATAGATCGATGCCTAGCCACGTGAAGACCCCGCCCCCCCCCCACCTGTGGACAAGGTCTACCTTTAGCTGCTGGAACCTGTCAGGTGGGGGCGAAAGGAGGGCCAGGTGTGGGCTTCAAGGGGAACCATTTAGAGGGAGGGGGGAAAGTGGAAGGCCCAGCTGTACCTCCAAGACCCCTTGGTGAGAATTCCCACTCGTAGGTCTTTACCTGCCAGCTGAAAGGTCACTGCCCCTCGTGAGGGGTCAAGAAAAATAATTCTTTATTTCACCTTTAAAAAAATTATTAACCATTTTATGGGGGGGTGCTCTTACAAATCTTATAACAATCCATCATTCACTTGTATTAAGCATATTGTACATATGTTGCCATCAACATTTCCAAAGCATTTTCTCTCTACTTGAGCCCTTGGTATCAGCTCTTTTTCCCCCTCCCTCCCACTCTCGTGAATTCTTGATCAATGATATATTATTGTTGTTATTTCGTGCCTTACACTGTCCATTGTTTCCTTTCAGCCACATTTCTGTTACTCGTACCCCTGAGGGGTGGGCTATCTATCCAACCTTGTGATGGGGTCCCTGTTGACTATGCTACCCAGCAACTCAGCTCCATCACTGTGTACCTCGGTTTGTAGTTTTGGAGTTGGTAGAAAGACGAAAAGCAAGCTATGCTCCACAGGGCTCAGCACCCCCCACTCGGAGGCCTGGGTGTCGTCCTTAGTATCTACCTAAGACACACATTTAGAGAACACCTTCAAGACCTAGTTCTGCCCTTCAGGCACCTGGAGTTTACTGTTCACCCATCACACACGTAAGCACCCAGAGCCGCCTCAGGCACCTCTCCTGGACGCCTGCCTGGCCGTCTCGGAGCCTGTGACGGAAGGTGAGGAGACGGTGAGTAAGACACAGCCCCTGGCCTGAAGGAGGTCCCGTTCTAGAATCCCCTCATTCGCCCAGTGATACTTCCAAGGAGCTGGGACCATGAGGTGAGATGACGTGGCAGCTTGAGGCCCAGGGGAGACCACACTGAGGTGGACTCAGAGAAAGTTCAGGGCAGGTTCCTGTGGAGCCCAGAGTGTTGGGAAGCAGGAGGTCCTCGCAGCTTGCTCTGGATGGTTAAAACAGCGTGTCAACTTGGTGGGCCATGAGGAGTCTCTGTGGGTTGGCCATTATGATACAGCTACCCCACCCCCACCCCGTGAGATCCGAAGCAATGCGATCGCCTCCATGACCAGATGTGTAAGAGCACGCAATCAATTGAAAGAGCGTTTCCTTAGGAGTGGCCCAGGTGGTTGCTAGCACATACATGTGCTCTGGCAAATGCATGATTCCTGCACCTGCCGTCATCTGAGCACTGGGTCTTTGGATCAAGCCAGTGACCTGCCTTGTGTGTCAGCAGCAAGCTTCATCTTAGCTGCCAATCCTGGACCCCGTCACCTCCATGGGCAGGAGCCTGCGTCTGGCCTGCTGTTCTTCAGTTCATCCGTCCCTGCAGCTACCTGAGTCAGGAGCGACCTCCAGCCTGACGTGTGTCCTCTGGACTTGGAACTCGCCAGCCTCTGCAACTGTGGGAGCCATCTGTCCACATGCCTCAGAGGGGCAGGCTTTCAGAGATGGTGACAGGACGAGGGGCGTGTGTATGG